AAAAAAAAAAAAAAAATATATATATATATATATATATATATATATATATATATATAGGTCTTAAAGGATAGCAACCTTTAACTTTGAAAGACGCAGCTGTATCACTGATACGGCAATATTGCTTCTCTCTATAGTCACTATGCGCTCGGGATAGCGCCGAACATGTCGCTTCCGAACGGCATCTCTGAACGTTACCTAGGGAGAGGAGAGTGTCTCGTGAGCGTGGAATGTCAGGTAATTCAGTGGTTTAGAGCAGTCGCTCAGCAAGTGAAAAATCCGAGTTCGATTTCCGGCTTTAGCAAACCGTGCTTTTGATATTTTTCTATCTCCGGAACGAAAAGAAGACGCAGGTCCCGATCGCACGGCGTCCCGCCCTGCCGCTACACCTAATACACTCTCTTTTTACTCATCGCGTATTTTCCAAAAGCTTTTCTCTGCATTTCATGAGTCTTCAAAGTATTTTGCCCAAGTTGGAAGCAAAATTTGATACAAACACGTTGTTCTTTTAGATTGAATCCAACGATTGGAATCCATGATTTGATACGCGCTCTCATCCATAATTTCTTTCCTAATAATACCACGTGATTCTTTTGCAGAATACAAATTGAACATTTCACTTGAATCAATTCAAAGGATCTTGAGTGATTTGAACCTGCGAGAGCAGCGGAAAGATAATCGAACAGACGCGCATATGCATGATTCGATACACGCTCTTGTCCATAATTTCTTTTCTAATAATACCACGTGCTATTCTTTCGCAAATTCTGCGAATTCGCATAACGCCATAAGATCTATCGTCGTTAATCGCTTTGTGGAACAGATTTTCAGTCGAACTTTTTTTGGCGATTTTGAAATGTTGAATTTGTATTCTGCGAAGGAGTAGAAGGTGATTTTAGGAAAGAAATTGTGGACGAGAACTATATTAATCATGGATTCAATTATTAAAGTCAATTTAAAAGAACAACATATTTGTATCAAATTTTGCTTCCCAACTTCTTCTTCTTCTTTTTTGGCCAGAAAATTTAATCCCTTTGGCCAGTTGCTTCCAGTTTGAATAGAATGCTTCGAAGATTAATGAAGATGCTAAGAGAAGCTTTTGAAGAATATGCAATGAGCAAGAGGAGAGCGTATTAGATGTGGCGGCGGGATGCCATGCGAGATCGGGATCTGCATCTTCTTTTCGTTCTAGTTTTTGATAAAAGCCGAGAATCGAAACCGGAAATATTTTGCTTGTCGGGCGACTGCTCTAAACCACTGAGCTATCTGACGTTCTACGCTTACGACATTCTCTTTTCCCTAGATAATGGTTAGAGATACCGTTCGGAAGCGATATGTTCGGCGCTATCTATATATACAGGGTTGGCAAAAAGTCCGGAAACGGTTAAATACCTCGAAAAGGATCAACTGTAGCGAAAAATATGTAAGTAGCAAAGTTGTAGGGCTTAATAAAATGTACCTAATGATGGCTAAAAATTTGACTTTGGGTGGAGGACGAAGGTCATACAAAGGTCAAATTGAATTTTTTAAATTGAACTCCCCACTTTTTATTACATATTCTTGTAGCTTATTTCAAGGGCTTTCCAAAAACCTATAATAAAGTATTTTTTTATTAGGCATATTTAGAGTTATGAGGCTTGAAAGGATTTTGGTCTTTAACTGTTTCTGTTTCGTAAAAACGTATCGCTGTCTTCTGAACGGTAGATTTAGAAATAAAATTGCGATCAGGATATGCAACATTGAATGTGTAGATCAGTTACTTCTTCATATGATCTAATATGGTCTCCAAATTTTCGATAAAAAAACAGCATTATCTTTTCTTTATCGGTTAACATTTTTAAAAAAGAAATTTGAAATTGTAGTTGGAAAAAGAAAGGAAAAAGACAAAGAGTAAGATGCGAGAGAGCACGACTCGATTTTAAAATACAAAGATCGAGAAGCGTTATCGTGAAGCGCGGGTATGCGCGAGTTTTGACTGAGTACGTGTGATATTACGTCGTGAATGAATAACCGCGTTCGATGAGAGCGAATGAAAATTTGGAAACCATATTAGATCATATGAAGAAATAACTGATCTACACATTCAATGCTGCATATCCTGATCGCAATTTTATTTCTAAATCCACCGTTCAAAAGACAGCGATACGTTTTTACGAAACAGAAACAGTTAAAGACCAAAATCCTTTCAAGCCTCATAACTCTATAAATATGCCTAATAAAAAAATACTTTATTATAGGTTTTTGGAAAGCCCTTGAAATAAGCTACAAGAATATGTAATAAAAAGTGGGGGGTTCAATTTAAAAAATTCAATTTGACCTTCGTATGACCTTCGTCCTCCACCCAAAGTCAAATTTTTAGCCATCATTAGGTACATTTTATTAAGTCCTACAACTTTGCTACTTACATATTTTTCGCTATAGTTGATCCTTTTCGAGATATTTTATCGTTTCCGGACTTTTTGCCAACCCTGTATATATTAATATAAGATGTTTCACGTTAAGTGATATGGTCGATTATCTTGCGAATCGATGATTTTATTGAAAAATTTTTCCAACGAAAGTTGCATGGCTTGAAGGGAGCACATGATGAAAATATGGACCTTGAGTGATCTTGTCAAAATCAGATCAAGGTCATTAATATTTTTTAAAATAGAAACTCCTATTTTTTATTACATATTCTTGTAGCTTTTTACGAGAGCTTTCCAAAACACTATAATAAAGTTACATTTCATTGAATACTTTCCGAGTTACGGAGCTTGAAAGTTAAGGCAATATCAACGATTTCATTTGAACTGTAAGTGGCCATTTTGAAAAAAGCTTTGAAAAAGCCCACTTAGGTAAAAAAATAAAAAGAAAAAACTATATGAAAAAAGAAGAAAGTTGAATCGTTCAATTGGGAATGATTGGACTCAATTCCGTGCGCGTGAGCGTATGTCAAGCAGTGCGGATAGATCGCGGAGACGCGCGCGCATAAGAATCCCGCTCACATGCGCATGCGTACATAGATAACGCCGGTGATACTGTAACTTTCAAGCTCCATAACTCGAAAAGTACTCAATGAAACGTAACTTTATTATAGTGTTTTGGAAAGCTCTCGCGATAAGCTACAAGAATATGTAATAAAAAATAGGGGTTTCCGTTTAAAAAAACATTAATGATCTTGACCTGATTTTGACAAGATCACTCAAGGTCAAGTCCACATTTTCATCATGTGCCCCCTTCAAGCCATGCAACTTTCGTTAGAAAAATTTTTCAATAAAATCATCGATTCGCGAGATAATCGACCATATCATTTCAAGTGAA